CCTCTGGCATCCCAAGCGAGTTCTTAACCATCGCGCCACTCGGCCGGCCCAGAGCTCAAACTCTTGAGCGAGCTCTTAACCAACTGAGCCATTCGGCCGGCCCTGAGATGTGATTGTGTTTTAAATGATGGTAGTGAAAAGTGCATGGTGGTTATTTAGGACGTAGAATTGAGATTTGATGGTAGACTGAATGTGAAAGGAAGGGAGAAATCAAGCATGATACCCAGGATTCTGGCTTGGGCTTTTGAGTGGATGGTGTTGTATTTCACTGAAATAGGAAGACTAGGTGTGGGAGAAAGATGAGGAATTTGGTTTTGGAAAAAAATGGATTCAAGGTACCTATGGGATGTCCAAGTAGAACCGTCTGTAATTAGCAGTTGGATCCATGGTCCTAAATCTTTGCAGAGAGATTTGAGCCAGAGGGAAAGCTGAAGGAGACATATTGGTGGTGACTGAAACTCTGAAAATGGATGAGATGATGCAGGAAAAGTTCATTTGGTGAAAAGAGAAGCTATCCAAATATAAACTAGGGATACTCCACAATCTTTTAAGGAAGAAGAGAAGTAACAATTTAACCCTGTTTTATAGATGAAGAAACTTGCAGTTCATTGGATAAGGAAACATACAGTTTATATGTGACTCTGGGAAGTGACTTTCCCAGCGCCACACAACTACAAGTAATTAGAAAGATGTTTCTTAGCCTGTTGGAAAACAACTAGAATATAGCTGTCTTTTAGGCAGAAGAGAACATGGGAAGACTGCCTGAACTGGTGGAACAACTTGGAGAATTTGATGTCATGCAAGCATTTTGTGGAGTAGAGAAAGCGGTCAGTATTGTCAAATGCTACAGACGAATTTAGTGAGATATGAATTGAAGTGTTCCTTGGTTTTTAGCAGTCTTAGTAAGTGTAGTTCAGTTGAGTAGTGAATGCTCAGGTGAGATTGTTGGTCTAAGTTTAGGCAAGAAGTTTGGCTTTTTTCCGGAAACCATGGCAGAAGGACAGCTGGGCCAAAGGAGGTGAGAACATTTTTTTTAGAGTGGTTGAAGTGATGTGCGGTGGAGTCTAGGCTGGGTGGGCAAGCAGAGGCTGATGAATAGGGAGGCAGAAAGCTGTCAGGACTGAGGTTCTAGACGTGATCAGGAGTAACCTAGTAAGAGCTGGGAGGATAAGCGGTTAGGTCAGAAAGCAGGGTGTCAGAAATTAGTTTTGAGGTGGTCAAATTATGGTTGATTTTAATTCTCTTTATTTTTCTGTTTTTCTATAAATATGAACTTTTAAAAAACTTTTATCAGAAAAATAACTTTATTTTATTTTATTTTTTTATTATTATTATTTTTTTTAGCTGAGCCATCCTGCCACCTGTTGACAGCTCAGCAGCTGCTCAGCTCAGGCTGGGACTCGAACCGCTGTTATTCAGAGCTTGCACTCGGGAAAAATAACTTTTAGAAAAAACACTTGGTTTCAATTACTTGGTTTCAAGTAATAGAACTTCTTGCCAAAATATATATATATTATACAATTTCACTAAAAGATATCTCTTTGTATAACAATTTGTTTCAGTGAGTGAGTTGTTAATTTAAATTTAGGTGGATTATTTTGAATACTAACTGACCGTGAGGTTCATCAGCCTGCCAAAAATTTTACTAGGTGAACAATAACATCTATCACTGTACAAACATAGAAGCAAATCCTTTACATTCCTAACCTTCTTACATATGTTTTAAATATCTTTTTAATGTTTTTCATTGTTTTTTTAATGATTCTTTTTAATGTTTCTAAAAAGCATTTGAAAGTTTTTAAAAAAACAGCAAACATTTATTTAAAAAATAGAGCAAAAGTATGTAAAATTAAAAATGAAAACCTTTTTTCATTATTTCACTCCTACTCTCTAGGGTAACCCACTTTTTATAGTTTCATGTTTATCCTTCTAGACTTTATCCTATGCCTAAATAGACATCTGTCATTTTATCAAGGGCTCATATAATGTAAAGCTCTTCTGCAACTTGTGTGTGTATGTTTTTAATCCAAACATGAAAACCTGTAGAACTCAGAATATGGAAAGCAGTTTATATGGAAGATAATATTTAAATGCTCAAGATCACTGGGCACATCAGTGGAAGAGCCAGCTCTGAAGGCCAGACTTTATTCTTACCTAGTGCTGCTCCTTTCCATACGTAATACCTTTTCAACTTCTCTCCAAAGAACTCAGCCTAAAGGATACTAAAATCAAAGAATACAGGCCATGAAAATGGTGGGGAAATAACCAACAATTCTCTTCTATACTATAGACATCTTTCTGGGTGTTTTTCACAAATGTGTTTATCTGAATAAATTTCAAGTAAGAAGTAATGGCAAACAAGTATAATTAGGTACAATTTAATTGCCTTGGTAAGGTTTGCATAATTATTTCTTTGTCTTTTTTTAATATGATTTGTGACTATATTTTTTTCCTATTATATATATTTTAATAGACTTTTTAAGAGCAGTTTTAGGTGCACAGAAAAATTGAGCTAAAGGTACAGAGATTTCCCATATACCCCCTGCACCCATGCACGCACAGCCTCCCCCATTGTCAATACATTTGTTAACAACATGAACCTACATTGACACATCATTATTACCCAAAGTTTACATTACGGTTCACTCTTGGTGTATTCTGGTATATTCTGTGGTTTTGGACAAATGTATAGACATGTATCCAACATTATATCACTATACAGACTAGTTTCACTGCCTTAAAGATCTTCTGTGCTCTGCCCATTCATCCCTTCCTCCCCCTACAACCCTCGTCAACCACTGATGTTTTTACTGTCTTCATAGTTTTGCCTTTTCTATTTGTTTCTATTAATATGTTTGACAGTGATCTAAATTAATATTTTAAATTTTTGTTTAGGCAATCAATACTTCAAAAAAGGTAACAAAAGCAAAACAATTGATTGAAAATGCAAAAGCTTTACATATTAGTAGGTCAAAAGCTGCTAAAGAAACAGTGACACCATTAAGGCGTTCATCAAGACATCAGTCTCTTCCTGAGAGGAAAAACATGTCAGACACAGAAGTAAGTATTGCAGATATTTATTGGAATATAAAGTCTGTCCTATTCTGCTGTTCTGGGGTGGGTGAAGGAAACCATTATAAAGTTATAAGGCATAATTGTAAGATAGCCTTGAGGTGGTAGAAAAAATATCATTTTCAGTTCTGCTTTAAAAGCCTTTGGCTCTCTTTTTCTTACAGAATATAGTCTGAATCCTTATCAAGTCATTCAATGATCCTTCATAGGCTGAAGTAGCTCCTCCCTTTCTTCAAAACAATGCCTTTCTTAATATACACACTTTGGGCTCTAATCATACTAAATTATTCGTATCTCCCCAAATGGTGCATTTTTCACTTTTCAATTTGTAGTCTCATGATGGGGAGATGTATGGAATTGCTAATGTAATTATTTTGTCTGTGGCTTCTCGCACTGTAAACCTTTTGAAATTTTAATCATATTAATTGTATGACATTTTAAACATTTTTTTCTTATTCCATCTTAGGACTCTGTAATAATAATAGATTCAAGTCCTACTTCTTTAAAGCATCCTGAGACAAATCAGAAGAAGCTTCAGTGTCTAAATGATGTGCTAGGAAAAAAACCTAACAAGACTCCTAAAAATGTACCTGGTAATCATATTTGATAACATTTATGATGAACATTAGAATGTTTTTGAGGGGTATTATATTGTTCTGTATGTTCTCATTTTATTGGGTTGTTGGAAAAGTCATGACGTATTTTGTCTTATGTTTTTCAAAGGTCATTTATTTATATAAAGAACAAAGATCAATCAATGATATATTGCCTGTTTTGTTCGATAACCTTTTGCCATCTTTCAGTGAGCTTCATAGTTCCGTGTTCATAGAAGGACCTGTCTTTATTTGCGAAAAACTGAACAAGGTGCTGATTTACAGCCTCATCTGAATTGAACATTATACCACGCAAGGAATTTTGAAGAGAGCAAAACAAGTGGAAGTCGTCTGACTGCACAAGGTCAGGCGAGTATGGTGGGTGTGGCAACACATCCCATCCAAGCTCCAGTAATTTTTGACAGGTGATCAAACTTGTGTGTGGTCTCGTGTAGTCGCGATGGAACACAACTCCTTTACAATTAACAAGCTCTGGACGTTTCTGGATGATGGATTCGTCCAAACTGTCCAATTGCCGACAGTACATATTTGAATTGATTGTTTGGTTCCTTGGTAGGAGCTCGAAAAACACGACACCTTTAAAATCCCACCACAATGAGCGCATAACTTTCCTCTGATGAATGTCTGCTTTCAGTGTCATTTGAGGTAAATCATCACATCGGGACCAAGACCATTTGTGCACCACATTGTTGTAAACAATCCACTTCTCATCACCAGTTATCAGTCGCTTCAAAAAAGGATCATTTTCCTTACGTTTAATG